GAAGGAATGCAACACCCGCTGAGTACAACGATAGAGCTTGAAAGATCAAAGACAATTTTTAATATAACTCCGACTGGATTCGTCTGAAAGAAGAAAGTCATATACACCTAGGATGCATCGGGGGTGAGTAAAACGCAGCCTAATTTTCATTTTTGGCTGAACTAACCCTTTAATCCACCTGTTGCTTTGGTCTTCATCAACAGCCACTTGTGCCACCTGCTGGTGAGCGACTGACAGCAGCTGGAGATCATGCATTGGTGCTCTACTGCTATTCCTGCAGCTCCCGGATGTGCAATGGCGAATTTTCTGTCGAATTTTAACCACTGAATTTGTGGAAGCGAATTTGGAAAGTGAAATAAAATGGACCGAAATTTGCCTGTCGAATATTATACATCATATTTTTAAACAGATTGAATATTTTGGAAGTGAATTCTGGAAGGTGAATATGAATTATTGAATTTTTAATTATGAAAATGTGTGTGAAATATTTTGAATTGAAATATTCACAGCTTAAATAAAATTCTATGTTAGATTTCATGACCTAAAAATGCAAGCCCTGGAAATACAAGGCATTAAAATGCAAGCACTGTTAATGCAATGCATTATTTTTTCAGTTAGTGCTATTCAACATGCTTTTTGTTTCAAAGACATATGGCATTATTTTATTTCCATACAAATTGTTCCAGGTAATTTCGGTGGAAAAGCAGCTTAAGTCATGCGTTACTGTAATTAAATTACTTATCCACCAAAAAAAGTAAAGTAAGTGATTACTGTTTATTTTTAGGTAATTTAATTACAGTATCTTATAAAGTATTTGCATTACAGTTCTCAAATCAATATTGCATTTGAAATCTAAATTTATCGTCTAAAGGTAAAATTGAATGCAGCATCTTTAACCCTCTGCGTGCCGGCGCATTCACCTGCAGTTTTTCCTGAAAAGAGAGAAAAGGGCCTAAAATACCCAGATACAGATAAGACTAAAATCAATCGAATCTATAAATGGTATACTTTTATTTGTGTACACTGACAATAACAACAAAACACTGTGATTTTGTAAAATAAACAAAACAAACAGGGTGCGCTTTCTGCTGTTTTGGTCTCCGTGAACTTATTTCTGAAACGCGTCACAACAACTAACTGAAACTTGGCGAATACTTCACACACAGACGTGAGAAATATGTCTATAGAAAACTTGAAGTGTCTACTTTTAAATGAACCAATTCAAATCTAAAACAAATATTCTCTGATTATGTAATCTGTATAAAACTAAAGCGAGGTACAGTCTTTCCCGTCTTAGAGCTCATTATCTGCAGACATACCTGCACGCAAACGCCCTCATCACCTAGGTCCTGGAGGGCCGGTGTCCTGAAGAGTTTAGCTCCAACCCCAATTAAACACACCTGAACCAGCTAATCAAGCTCTTACTAGGCATACTAGAAACTTAAAGGCAAATGTGTTGAGGCAAGTTGGAGCTAAACTCTGCAGGACACCGGCCCTCCAGGACCGAGATTGGACACCCTTGATACATAAACTTGTACGCATTTTACTTGTTGGGCTTTTCCTATCTTGCCAAACTGAAATGTGTGAAAGAGAGTTAAATATGCTGAAATATGATATGCATCCATAAACACAATATATAGGCAACTTATACATGTAGGCTAAATGTCGTACGAATCGAGGATGTAAATATTTTGCTATCATGTAATAAAAATATGAGATATAATACAATATAAATATAAAGTAATGTGAATGTTTATACTGTATTATATATATAATTAATATATAATTATATATTAGCATGATTAATTTTTACAGTCTAGGAATGTTTAGATCAGTGTTTACTGATCTACAGATGTCGATGTTTATAGTGTGCTAAGCAATAAGAATTTAACTTATAAAATATCAGAATGTTGTTTATGAACTGTGTGGTTATCCAGACAAAGCATATGTGCATGAATGACAGTACAAAATCATGTTTCTTTTTTTTAGGAATGGACAAAATTAGTATTAGTGACTGCTAATGTTGTATACATGTACAGTATGCCAATTTGTATGAAATATGATACTTATTGCTTAGAAAAGTGTAATGCTTACAGCTTGATACATGTACCCATGGTTTCACAGACAAGGCTTAAAGAAAATGAAAAAAATGAAAATTAGCCCATAAATTACTCACCCTCAAGTCATCCTAGGTGTATATGACTTTCTTCTTTCAGACGAATCCAGTCGGAGTTATATTAAAAATTGTCTTTGATCTTTCAAGCTGTTTCATGGCACTCAGCGGGTGTTGCATGCATCAGTCCAAAAGCACTTAATTAAAATGTGCCCATCCATAAAAAAAAGTGTCTCACACGGCTCCGGGGGGTGAACAAAGGCCTTCTGTAGCGAATCGATGATTTTTTGTAAGAAAAATATCCATATTTAAAACGTAATAATCACTTTAATGTAGCTTGGGCTCACTGTTGTACACTGGAAGCAGTTCCGGGCGGATGACGTATGGAGGTCGGCTTTGCGCATATGCCGCTCAGAAGTGACGCACGCGGAAGCGCAGGGGAGAGTATTTTGCAGAGTAATTATATTTGTTAACTAAAGAAGGTTACATTTTTTTATTAAAATGCTTAAGTATAACAGTTGTTTTAAAGCTAAAAGGTTAAACTATTCCATGTTTAACTCAAACTAAAATAATTAAGAGTTTAATTTCTATGCATAAAGGTTTATAGATATTTATTAATCAATTCACGAATAATTAAGTTACTTATTGAGTAATTAAGTTACTTTTCAGACAGAGTAATTAGAAAAGTAATTTAAATACAATATTGAGGATGTAATTAGTAATTAATTACTTTTTTTTTAAGTAACTTACCCAACATTTGTGAAAGGGCCTAGGGCTCATCTTCACCAAAAGTTAGTGGGAGTTCTGATGTATCATCCAGGTGGGTACTACACACTGGTAGAGGAGATTTTCTTGACCTTCTCAAGAGTAGATTGACTGCAATTAAGCTATTTTTAATTAAGATTAGCTCATCAGTCTACAGTTTCGTACTTCCCCAACACATATAATAAATATAATAAAGGCTGGAGCTAAATTCTGTGGGAAGGTGGCCCTCTAGGAGCTGTGCTGAGACTAATACAAACCAATGTAGTTGCAGACAGCATGAGTGGAGAGCCTATTTATAAGATCTTTCATTACAGAGAAGAAGTCACTGTTTGTGTGGGTGCATTCGTTATAGTTTGCCCTCTGTACCAATACGAAACACTTTAAGCCACAGAGATCTTACTGGCACAGTGCCGTGTCAGCCATTAAGTGGGTATCTTTTAGTCACTATTGGTCCTGAGAGACCCTGCAGAAGACAGTCAATCTGTAGAGGACATTAAAAGAGAGAGAGAGGGTTGTGGATCTCACATGTGCACAGATAACAGTGGGCATCAAATATGGCACATTAGGCATAAGGGTGGCAGAGGAAACAGGTCACTCTCAGAACAGTGCCACTTTTCTCAAGCTTTCTCAAGATAAGCTCTTTATGTGCCAGTGATGTCACAGAACTCTTTACTAAAAGAGCTACGCTAAACACTGACAACATCACTCAGGAAAAGTGATGCTAAAAGAAGACACTAAAGGGGGAGACAAATTTGGCTCAGATGTCCCTGTTAGCCAGGATAGGGAAAAAAGACACCATCTATGGATCATTTCAGGAACAGATCGATGCCAGCGATCTGAGCAAGGTTCAGAAAGTGACTATTCATTGCCAAGAGCTGAGATAGGACTAAAGACCAGCATGTTATTATTATGAGGCCTCTCAGGAGCTGTGCGGGGGCTGTTGTCTCTCTTGTTATCTTCATTAAATGGCCCTTGTGTTTATTTGTTGTTGTCTGGCTGTCTCTTCAGTTTGAAGGACACAATCTAAATTATGAAGGATACTAATTGGACCTCCCACATGTGCTGAACTCCACTCACACACTTCCTTTCCCTCCTCTCAGCACCTTGGTGCCACTTCCCTGTGGAGAGAATAAGCTCACACGTTATTTAATTATCAGTCTGTCTCTGTGTGTGTGTGTGTGTGTGTGTGTGTGTGTGTCTGCATATGTTAGCAGCAGCTTGGCACCTTGAGAACAGTCATGAGAGCATATGCATTGTTTGTAATAGATGGAAGACTCATATACAGTTAAACTGCACTTATACAAACAAGCACAAAATGCATATGTCAGGGCTGTCAAAATGAGTCCAATATCAATGAGATTGGCCTCAACCATGACTAAGATGGGAAGTCATAACACTGGCAACATGAAGGGTAAGAACAACATGAAACTAATGGGTGTTCTGCATCATATAGAATCACATTTTACAATCAAACAATTCTACATATGTTCACAGGTTGTAATATAACATATTTACAGAAATGAATAATACATTTTTCATGCATTCACACATCTTTATCTAATTTAGGAACAAAACAAAAAATAATTATGAAGCACACGAATCTGATTAAATGTAACAATACTGCCACCTGCTGGATGACAGATGGACTGCATCAGCTAATGATGTTAATGTACTGTTTGTTCTCTATTCTATTCTATTCTACTCTATTGTCATGTTTGTTTTTTCATGGTTTTTTTTTCATTTTCCATTATTAATCCATTATATTCTACTACAATATATTTTGTTGTTTATTCTGTATTCTGTATACCCCCCTCTCTCGCTCATTTATTATTATTATTATTTTCTATTTTGTTCTATTATATTCAGAGGTATTGGTGTGGAGAATAAGCCAGAATTGCAACGTGTGTTGGAAGAAAGGAAAAGAGAGCAGATAATTAAACAGAAAAAGCAGGATGAGGAGGCCAGGAGGAAAATATCTCAATTGGAACATGAACTTCTCAAGAGACACCAGAAACTAGACGAGGTAGGAATCATTCAATCATACAGTGTATGATTACTGTAACTATCACTATAACTATTTTCCTGTTTGACATTGTAAAGCTGGTTTGACACAATCTATATTGTATAAATCGCTATATAAATAAAAGTTAAGTGACTTGACAGTGATGCTCTTTCAGTTTTTCACATGTATTTCAGAGGTCCTAACATAGTAAACACTCTTTATTATGGTTAGATATATCCTGTTTATCTGCAAACCACCAACCAAATATTCACCAAATAGTGTATCTATCTGTCTTTCTACCTTAGCTGGAGAAGGAGCAGGCAAGACTGGAGGATAGCAACTGCAGTGCTCCAGAGTTCATAAAAGTGAAGGAGAACCTGAGACGGACATCACTTGCCAGTTCTGGAGAGAAGGAGGTGTAGGGGTGTAAACAAAGACTGGATCCATGTGTGTTTGTGCACAGCCAGTAACATAGAGACCTGCTACAGCTCCTAAACACCACTCACATGACTGCGCTTCTCTACTTCCTGTCTCACACCCACAACACCCTCACCTCTCGCTGTAGCAGGTTCAGAGAGGGCAGAGATAAGGATAAGACCCAACGAGTCTCTGCTACACTTTCACATCATGAGGAGGTTGACGCTTAAGAGGTTTCAAAAGACTGCAACGAGAAAAGGAGTGTTGTTGTTTTTCTTTTCTGCTCTGAGTTGGACTAAATGGGTAAAAGAACTGCCCAGGTTGCTTATGAGTTTGTGTGCATGCATGGATGGACAGCTATGTTCTGGTTCTGTCACATTAGTTGATAATGTGAAAACAAGGTACAGGGATAAGTTTCAGATTGAATAAACAATATATTGCTCTCTAAATGTCAAGCAGAACATTTATAAGGTGGCAATTAGACAAACGGTTACACTTTACATGAAGGGGTGTGCATAAGACTGACATGACACCTTCATAATCATGACATGACACCTACATAATCATGACATGACACATGTCATGAATATGAAGGTTTTTTATGCATGTTTATGACAACTGTCATTAAGTGTCATTCGCTCAGTTATGTAATTTTTAATGCAAAGATGACATTGTTTGAGATGTCTTTGTTATGGGCTATGGTTAGGGGTAAGGGTAGGGGTAGGGTTAGGTTAGGGTTAGGTCAAATAATGTCATATTTGCATTAAAAATGACATAACTGAGCGAATGACACTTAATGACAGTTGTCATAAACATGCATAAAACCTCCTTCATATTCATGACATGTGTCATGTCATGATTATGAAGGTGTCATGTCAGTCTTATGCACACCCCTTCAAGTAAAGTGTTACCAGACAAACATATCAGTATTATAGACAACTTGTTGCTTATCAAACCGCCAAATATTTTGTTCATTGCCTACTTTTTAAACATTGTCTCTTATAATTAACAATCAGCACTTGTCACTTTTAAATGAGAATATAACAACTATGATTACTTTTCAGCTTTCATCACCCTTGATTTGCAGCATAACTCTGAGACATTACAAGAGTGCAAGCAAAATTAATTTTACTCAGAAAAAAAAAACATTTAACATTACAATGATGGCTAAAATGATTATGTACTTTTACATGAAATTTAATTTGACATCTCAGAAAGTTAAACCTGTGTAAAAATTAGGAAGTTTATTGTGCTTACAGTGCCTTTGTTAATGTAATACAACAGGATGGGCTGCCTGATGTGGTTCAATGTGTGTTGCATAGAATTTTCTTCATAGTATTATCTTTATGAAGTGTCCCCTAATATAATTGTGTATCGGGAAAAAAAAATTGTTCAACTGATTTGCTTTGATTTATGATTGTTTAAACAGACCATTTTTTGAAAAAAAAAACATGCACTACAATACAATTACATTATGTAATTTCTGCCTTTTCTGGCTTCTGAAGCCATTGGATAATACAACAATCAATATGTTACTTTAGTAATGTTCATTTAATTGTCATGTTATTGCAGTCAAAATCATAAAACAAATATAAGAGTAGGCTGGTTACATTTTTGTAGCTTTAGCCATGACCTTTTGATTGTTATAAACAGTGAACTTACACAATAAAGAAAAAGTACACATGCTTCATATCAATAAAGATATTAATGGTACATTTATTTTTGTGTCTCTTTTTTTCCTGTCATAAGAATTAGTTGGAATGCATTCATTCAAATTAATACAAGACATTCTGCTTTTTTAAAACACACTTGCAAAGAAAACCATTTGATCCATCTGCATGCACCAACAAGTTAACAATAAGCTATCCAGTTTAGCTCCATTCTATTTAGATACCGCCAGCTCTGTGTCTGCAAAGCCAGGCATCCAGATTTTCCACTTGTGGAATTTCACAAACCTCTAAAGTGAAACAGTAGAGAATAATGTGTGTGTGTTGTGAATTTTAAGTAGATGCTCTAAAAGTGAAATGGCGTGATAATACAGGAGGTCACAGGGCCTGGTTTGGGGTTATCATGCTCGGTTTCACTTTAATGGGTCCTAGGTGGATTTTTATTTTTTTTCCACTGATGGAAAGTCTCCATCTTGCCCTCCATCCAGCTTCTTGATAGCTTCTTAATTAGAGGGACAGGTAATACTATACCTCGAATCACAAGACCCGTCGTCCACAAAAACACGCTATCCACCTCTAATCTGTTTAATCTCTAAGAATCTTCAGGATCCGATTTGTTGTGCTCTAGTAAACAAGGGCTAAATTGTTTGACGTGAGGCAGCTGCAAACCTGAACTGAATGATGGCACAGGCAACACAACAGTCTAAACATGAACACAGCATTTTAGGGAGATGCTACAGGTGTAAATGCAAACCACTCCAACACACAATGCATCTGCTATGAATCATTTATATGATTCATTTTAATTTAAAATGCAATTAATAATTGAATTATTGAATACAACATGTAATCTAAAAAGGTGATAAGCACTTGATAAGCACATTTAGCTATTACTAATAAGAAAAAAATGGAGACAGAAGTTAGTTGTCATGTTTAACTCAAGTGAATATCTCATAGTAGTTTCATATTTGAAGGATAGTTTAAGTTTAGACCATACCTTAAAGTTACACTACTATTCAAACGTTTGCACTTGGTTCATTTTTTTTTTTTTTAATCTTATTTATCTTATTTATGTATTTATTTATTTATTTATTTATTGTTTCTGAAAGAAGTCTCTTAGGATCATCAAGGCTGGTGATATATGTAATCATAATTTAGGCAATAAAACTGTTACGACAAACAAAATGATCCATGAAACAACAAAAACATGAATGATAGCATACAAAAATTTCACATTGGCCAGTGGATATAATAACTGAATAACTGTACAAAATTATAACATCTTAAACACATATGATGACACCAATGTATCCCTCTGTCCCTTTTTATTGTATTCACAGTAGCTATTAAAAATTAATAAACAAAAAGTGTATATGCAATATTTAAGTAAATATGATGAAATATTCGTATATTATTTATGTGCCAACTCACCACTTCTAAAATGTACTTAAATATTGTAAGCAGCACACCATTCAGTGACACATATTCAGATAAAACCAGCTGTCTGTTACTTGCTGGCTTTGGTGTATGTAAATGTACATTCATGTTTTGGTCCAGTTTCATCTGTTGGGGCGGATGCTGAAGGCCAAACCCCTCTGAGACGGCTGCTGTGGCTGTTGATGCTGCTGTGGGAGGGGCTTGAATCTCAGGTGAGGTACAAAGCAGCAGGACTCTGAGCTCAGAGCTGAGATGAGACATGGGGCCACGCGGACAGATAATACTAACGCTACTTGTCCTGGTCTTGCTGGCTTCGGTGTATGTAAATGTATATTCATGTTTTGGTCCAGTTTCATCTGTTGGGGCGGATGCTGAAGGCCAAACCCCTCTGAGATGGCTGCTGTGGCTGTTGATGCTGCTGTGGGAGGGGCTTGAATCTCAGGTGAGGTACAAAGCAGCAGGACTCTGAGCTCAGAGCTGAGATGAGACATGGGGCCACGCGGACAGATAATACTAACGCTACTTGTCCTGGTGTTTGTAACCTACATCTGTGAAGCAGGTATGGGAAGCTTGTGCCACTGACTTTTCCTTTTTCATGTTAATGTTTTTTTTTTATATATATATATATATAATGAATTGAGGGTTTTTTACAGTGTTTTTTTAAAATAATATTTGATACTATTATATTGTATTTTTATATGTATAATAACTATTAATGTATATTAATAATAAAATATATATTTATGGATATTATTTTATATTTATTATTTATATTAGATTAGTGAATATTATATTTTAAAATTTTGCAGAATGTGAATCTATTAAGCATAGCTTTTAATATGTTGGTTGCAATAATTGTTATTAATTAAATTGATATTCAATTAATAATGATTAATAGTACTGAGGAAAAGAAGACATACACAGTTAGTTTTTTTTTTTAATTATCAGTAGAATAATCAGTGAAAAATATTTTTCAGAATGTTTTTAATATGCATTTGAACTCCATATGTGTAGTTTATGTAGAAGGTTCCCTATGATAAATTATTTATTTATTTATTTACTTACTTACTTACTTATTACTTACTTTAGCACTTCTCCGGAAGTCTTCTGCGGTGGACTTTCTGAGGTCTGGGAGAGAGAGGCGTGCAGTGAGATGTCAACACGGAGGCTGTAGCTCTGAAGACAGTGAGGCAGAAGAACTACTTGAGGCCAACTCAGATTACGTGAGTTGAGTACAAATGTGCAAAAGCTCACAGCAGCTATCTTAGACATTATTTAACATAGTGGGCACCACAATATCACATTGAATATCAGCCTTTTAAAAGTATGATAAAGATGGTTAAGTGAGACAATCTTAAGGGCTTGAACCCTGTTTTGCTGACAGATGTATCTGATATGTAATGTAAGATCATTTTTGTTGCGTATGGAACTGAAAAGCACCTCATGAAAACTGCTGATCTATTTTCTCTCATCAGGAGCAGGACAACTCAAAGATGTTCTTTAATGGTGGATCACAAGTTGGGGTGCACACGGTAAGACTCCCACTCTGTCATGTAAGATACAGTGCACTGCTAAATAAATAAATACTTTGAATTATGTACTTATTAGTATCTTTTTGTATTTTTCTTCTCAATTAAATTTCACACTATAAGGTTGTTTAGATATTTTGGGAAACAAGACACAATACTTAATAAGAATAGTATTGCTGTGTGTTGCAAAATGTGTGATCTTTTACTGTAATATTCTATAAATATACAGTTATTGTGACCAATATTATTTGCCATATGTAATCACCACAGTTCCATTAGAATGGACAGTGTTCCTTGGAAGAAAGACTGTACTGTATGTCCAGTGCGTGCTCACATGTCTCAATTACTAACATATAAAGTGGAATGTAACTCAATCCATCCATTGGGGGCTTCTCTGAACTTCTTCCTTTTCTCTCTGCATACCTCTCAGAGGCCTAATGGTGAGCCACAGGGAGAGGGCTCAGGTATGTAGCCCTGTGGCTCATGGCTTCAGAGCTGTGAGAGTTCACACAGTGGGAAAGACAAAGAAAGCCTGGAAGAAACTCAAGGCCTTCACTCTACTGCATCACTGGATACAAGCACAGGTGCTCCAAACATGGAATAATGTCAGATACTATAATATTATCATAGAATGTGCATAGAAAATAGATTCTAGATTCTTGGAGTGTTTTGGATGTTGAATTTTGCATATATATATAGAGAGAGAGAGAGAGAGAGAGAGAGAGAGAGAGAGAGAGAGCGTTATGATTCAGTCTGAGCTGGATAAGTTTCTCATGTATTTCTAACATAGATGTGGTGATGCCAACTTTGATGCTTTTTAAAGAATGCTGCTGAAAGCCTTTACCTGATGTACAA